TTGGGCTTTAAGCATCTAATTAAAGTGTGGGCCGGACTATATGTGTAGAGACCGGATCCATTAGGGTTTGTATTTGACGATGGGCCGAATACATATGGAAATATATAAAGGGTTATGGTCCCCAATTCATGTGTGATTTTCTCATTTTTTGTTTCATCCCATCAACACAAGAATACAAGGGAAAACATATGAAGAAGAAGATCCGCAAACTCACAATCAGGTATCAAGAAGGAGGTTTGAAGCAATCAAATCGAAGATTTACAGATTAAGATTCAAGATTCATTATTCAAGTCAGAAATCAATGGATTAAGATATGTTTCGTATTAATTCAGTTTTTTGATGATTTGACATGAAGATCTTGACAAGTTTCTAAAGTTTAAGTTTCAATAAAGTTCTAACATGTGTCTCATCCCTACTTCCCATATAAGATAGATAAGGAAAAAGAAGAGATACTAATAGTGTCGAAGGCAGAAAAGTCATGGTGCCGAAAGAAAAGAAAACCAAATTTTGTGTTCTCTTTCACTCATGTCTCCTGAAAAAGAATAATTAGACCATTTGGGTTTATATTGTTAAGGCATTCAGACGTGCATAACTTGTTGAATTACTAAAACATAGTTCGATAATACAATTTGTCGATGGTAATGCCGTGGTTGGTGTTTAGTAACGACTTATTCACAACTAATAAGTGTAGAAAATGAGTGACAGATTTTAACCTGATTTATATGATGAACGTATTCCACGAAAATATATCATTTAAAGTTTTTAATTAAAATTTATCCTCTGATTAAAGGAAGTTCGAATAGACATCTATCAAATTCATTTATTATATATCAGAGGTACAATTTTGCGTGTGGGGTTTGTGGGGGTGGCAGAGGGACATATACTTAAGACTTAAATAAGCAAAGGAGGTCCACTCCAAGAAAATTTCTTTGCTCCACATGCGAAAATAGTAATTTAATTTCGGAGGTCTTACGTAAGCGAAACAAAATCATGAATTTATGAGGTTTGTACATACACACAAATACACCCTGTGATAAGCTCTCTTGAATTATATGGTGTGATATTTTTTATAAGTATTTAGTAAATTATGTATATATAACTTACATTACATATGTGAGAAAGTGACTTACATTCTAGTGTAAACTTTTTATTTATATCAATTGCTATAGGACACTTATCCTTTTTTATTTTCTTTATTTGAAGATTCTGCTTT